TTTAGGTGCGTTGTGAGCAAAATGGACTTGTCCATGAGGAAGCCAGGTTGGTTGGGACGGATTACAAAACTGTGTCTCGTGAATATTCTAAAGAAAGACGAGAAGGCTGGGGAGGGCAGGCTGCAACCTTCAGAGACTGGGAAGCTGTCATGGGGAAGAGGAAGTGCACTGTTTCGTGTAACCTCAGAGGTTAAAATTATAGCGAAGGCTGGAACCTCAGATGACATATTTCAGCTGAAAGTAAGGAAGACATTTCTATTATGTCTGTCCAAAGGAGAACCTGGCCGAGAAAGGCAGTGGTGAGTTCCCCGTCCCTGGAGGTATGTGAGTCAGGGTTGCATAAGGAGTTGATGGCGGATGTTGTACGAGATGGCCCTTGAAGTAACCTCTATCTCTGTGAATCAGGCATCCAAGTGAGACTAGCCGTCACGAGACCTCATACAGGCAGGTATAGGGAAATTAAAAGAGAGGGTTTCAATGGCACCCTCAAGAGGTCCCACCCACTGGCACTGGTGGTCATTTTCTGAGGCTTGAGGTGACTGGGCTGGGGCATGGCTGGGAGAGCCCAGCGGCAAATGGTTCCTCCTCCTCCCTCCCCGGCTTCCCCCGACACTGTGCTTAGGACCACAGTGTGTGCTGGGTCTTTAGCCAGGAATAGCAATGGCAAGAAAGGTGACCCCATTTTAAGCAAATTCGCTTCATGAAGAAAAAATTGACTCACCGGGCCAGTCCTACGTTACCAGATTCCCCATAGGGCATCTTCAGATCTCACAGTGTTAGAACCGGAGGAGGGCTCCAGAGACTGGCTCGACCACCCTCCTGGTTTTACAGATGGGGCTCCGGGGCCTGAGGGCAGGCCACACAGCAACACCGGGCCCCAGCTAGGCCCCTGGCGTGAGTGGTGTTTCTTCTCCTGTGTTGTGACTGTCTGTGGTCACGTCTGGGCAGGGAAGTGCCCTCCTACATCCTTCATCTCGGGATGGCCGGGCCATTTGTGTATGCGTCTTTAAAGGCAGGTTGCATTTTTGCAACAGTAGGTCCAAGTGAGTTCTGCCATTAGAAAAATACACTTCCCACCAGCAAGAAGTCCAGATCTGGCCCAGCAGATGTGAGATCTGCTCCTGGGGGAGCTCTTCTTAGGTGTCTGTTCTCCTCCGTAAAGATGGGGCAGTGGGGAGAGCTGTGGTGAAGCCAGGGAGACAGGTGACCGAGAGGTATGGCTCCAAGCCTGGCTTCCTTCCACTGACCAGGACGCCCTGTGTCTTCATCTGTAAAACGGGAAGGTAATCCCCACCAGGAGGGCCGTGAGGAGTATAGCAGGTGAAATCTTTGAAGCACGTGGCACATAGTGGACATAAATGCTGATTTGGAACTCAAATTCAGGTGTCCAACTGCCTGGATTTGCACCCCAGCTCTGCTACTTACAGGCTGCATAGCCCTGTGCTAGTCACTTAAACTCTCTTGGTCTCAGTTTCCTCATCTGTATTATGGTATAAGAATAGTACCTGAGTCATAGGGCTGTGGTTCCCAAACAGTGTGCCGAGGCACCCCAGGGTGCTGCAGCAGATTCACAGGGACGCTGTGGGATATTTTTAATCTTGAAGGAAGCACAGCAGTATCGGACAGCTGGCAGACACTGCGACAACTGCTAGCTCAAGATAGCTTACGGTTTCAACGTTACATCACACTTCTTTCGATGGCGTCATATCTTTGCAAAGCTGGGGTTTTGGCATTTGGGAGTACCCAGAAACAAACAAGGGTGGCAGTGTCCACTCTGATTCCAGGTTTGAAAAGTTGTTCAATGCCCAACAGGGACTCACATTCCTGTTAGTTTAGGCGTGGAATACAAATATTATTTTTTCTTTCAATTTATGTGTTTTACTTTTTCAAGTGGCTAATAAGTTGCTAAGATATAAATACCTACTAAGCTGTTTGGATGTAACGACTTAATAAACAGAACTACTAGGAATTTCTTTTGGCCATGAAAAACTGAGAGACCAAAGACCAAAAATGTTTGGGAACCTCTGTCTAGGGTTGTTGTGGGGCTCCATGTGTTAATATGAAACGCCCTCCGAACAGCACCTGGCAGAATGGGCACCCAGGAGCCCCGAGACTCTGTTATTATTCTCCCTCCAGGCTGGCCGCCCACAGGGGTGGGCTCAGGTGGCCTCATCCAGGACACCTGTGGAGCCTCCCTCAGCTGCTAGGGCTGAAGCCAGGGCCAGGGAGGAGGGGAAGTATCCATTGGTTTGGGCAGGGGCCCAACTCAGCTGCAACACGGGCCCTGGCAGGGCCCCCAACACCTTATTTAATTTGCATTCACTGAGCACCTACTGCGCGCCCACCAGCATGTCGTCTGCCAGTGGTCCCTCTGGGGAGGACTCTCAGGGCAGCCCTTGGTTCTTCTTCCTTGTCTCCTGGCAGCGTCTGCCTCCAGGCCGCCTGGGGGGTGGGGATGTTGGCAAGGGGGCAGCAGCTCCATCGAGAGCCACCCGGCGCTGCCGTGACAGAGAGGCACTGATGAGGACGCCCAGCTGTCTTCCTGCCAAGGCCAGGGATGCATCTTTGTGCCGGGGCTGAGAGGAGGGTGGGGCAGGGAGGGCTCGCTGCACTAATGGATGTCTAATGTTGACTTTCCCAGTCGCGTCTGCTCCTGCTTTATAAATGAGCCGCATTAGGGTGATAAAGCGCAGTCATAAATGCAGCCCGCAGTGCCGCAGAGAGCTGGGCAGCCATCACCTGCGGGCTGGGGGCCGCAGGGTTCGAAGGTAGGGTGAGCTTGCCACGGCACCCACGGGCTCCTGCACACTTCCTCTCGTGGCCGCCACCCCCGGAGGGATTCCCAGTCCCCCCAGTTCATAGATGAGGTGCCCGAGGCCGGTAAGGGCTGGCTCAGACCCAGGAGTGTCTGAGCCTGAGGCCTGAGCCCTGCCTTACCCCCTCAGGCCTGAGACTGAAGCAGGATGCTGGTGGGGGGGAGGTGGGCATGGAGCCTGGCAGGTTCTCCGGCTCAGGAACCCTTGGCTATTCCCAGTTTCGCTGCCCACTAACCAGGTGGCCTTGGGTCACTCATTTGCCCCATTTGGATGGTCTTTAATTTCCTCAGCTTTGAAACAAGGACAGTCATAGCCTTGCTGGCCCTTTGATGAGACAGCCCCTGTAACTGTAGAGTCCCAGCCAGTGTCGGAGTCTGTTAGGATCCCCAGGTGTTGGGGACACCCTAAGTGTTATGCAGCACCTCGAGTGATGGGCAGTGTGGAGTCCTGGGCAGCATCTCAGATGCTGAAGTCTGTTTCTTGGGTTCAAACCTTAGCTCTGCCTCTTGCTGGCCGTGTGCCCTTAGGCAAGTTACTTAACCTCTCTGAGCCTCAGGTTCCCCATCTATAAACTGGGGACTAACATAACACACCTTACAAGGTTGTTGCAAGAATTAGGGAAGTGAACTGTGTAAAAAGTACTGAAAACATGGCACCTAGTGTGATGTGAGCATTAGTTGCTATTTTGATGCAGCACCTTGTCCCTGCCATGCGCTAGGCCCCTCCTCGGCATTTGTGCATGTTTGTTTCGTGTGATCCTCTAAGCAGCCCAGAGAGAGGAAGAGTATTCGCCTCCCTGCCCTCTGCAGAGACGAAGTAACGAGGTCAGAGTGAAAGGGCTCTCCCTGGGTCACATGGAATGTCTTGGATGGAGCTGGATTCACATCCCTTCTTGCCGGCTTCCCCTTCGCTCCCCCAGGTCTCTCTCACACACACACACACACCCTGCCCGGGCCCAGAGCCTCGAGTCAGTGATAGCCATGCGTTTTCTCAGAGCTCCTGATCCCCCAGTCTTAGCAGGAGCTCCTGGTCCACAAAGAGACGACACGGCCTGGGCATGTTAGCTGTGTCTGTTCATTCTGCTCCTGGAGAACCCAGTGTCCCCGAGGCCCCTTTGCCCCCAGGGGGACCCCTAGAGCCCACTGTGGCTTCCTGGACTGGGGGACAAGTGCATGATCCCAGGGACCTCGGGCCTCCCGGGACCCCTGCCCCACATGAGGGACTGGAGTCCTGGGGCCATGACAGGGCCCGGCTGGCTGGTGAGGGGCTGGGCGGACATGCGCACCTCTGTGGCTTAATTTGCTGTTTCCCCTAGAGCAGCTAGCAGAGGAGGACAAGTCCCCCACTGCTTGTCCCCTGGCCACCTGATTGTTTGGCACTTGGTGTTGGAAAGTCGATTTTCCTAAGTGGATTATAAACCAATAGCCTGGCTGGCCTGGTCCCCTCCCTCCTGGTGCTGGCGGCCCCTCTCCCTTCCTGTTTGTCTCACCTCCTGAGGTGCTCTTCTGTCCAGGGAGGCGGGCGGGCCGGCCAGGGTTTCCATCTGGCCCCTCTGGGGGAGGAGATTGCTGTGGGCACAGCTTCGCTGCATTCCCAGCCTCTGAAGTTGGGCGGAGGGTGTGGATTTGGTTTGGCGGGAAAGGCTAAGGGGTGGGTCAGAGCCACGGAGCAGAGGAGTGAGGCTCTGGGGGGAGGCTACTGGGAAGGAGGTCTCCACCTCCATGCTGCTCCACCTCCATGCTGCGCTTGCCCTGGGCTTCCTGGAGGAGGAGGTCCTTAGGGGACCAAGCCACAGGGAGCCCAGGCCTGGTGCAGCCACCCCTACTCACCCCACCCCACGCCCCTGCCAGCCCAGGCTTGGCTTCCCACTCCAATCAGCCTGGCCGGCTGGGGCTACAAAGGGCAGCTGTGGCTTCGGAGCGTCGGGGCAGAGCTGGCCTGGCCTGAGCTCCCGCCTCAGCCCCACGTGCAGCCCTTCATGTACGTTGGCCTCTCCATGGGAGATGGGAGGGAGGCCAAGCAGGGCCAGTGCAGGGGACATTGGGAGGGCCGGAGAGGTGTCCTCACCCTGTTGGCCCCTCACCTCCCTGGGCCACCGTGACTTCTCCATCTGTAAAGAAGTGCAATCACACAGCATGGAGCTGGGACTGGCTCCAAAGAATAGGCCCTTAAAAGCAGGGCGGGATGGGGAAACTGAGGCCCCAGGAGTGCCAGACCTTGCCCAGGGCACAGAGGACATCCCCAGCAGGTCTCCTCTGGCTGTCCTCCCCTCCACTTCCCCCTCCCCTCTCTCTCTCTGCCGTGGGCCCCCGGAGGGGTGAGAGGTGCCCCAGCCCGCGGCCTCATGGAGCCTCTCCTTCCTCTGCAGGCAGTGATTCGGGCAGCGAGTTGCTCCCCGACTCCTTCCCGTCCGCACCCGCCGAGCCGCTCCCCCACTTTCTCCAGGAGCCGCAGGACGCCTACATCGTGAAGAACAAGCCCGTGGAGCTGCGCTGCCGCGCCTTCCCTGCCACGCAGATCTACTTCAAGTGCAACGGCGAGTGGGTCAGCCAGAACGACCACGTCACGCAGGAGGACCTGGACGAGGCCACCGGTGAGCCTGCCCCACTCGCCCGGGCGCCCCCGGGACTTCCCGGGACACCCCGGGCCCAGATGGGCCAGGGATGCTGAGTCCTGGGCCTGGCTCCACCCTAGGCTCAGTGTGAGAACTCACACCGCCATGGCGCCCCTCTGGGCCTCAGTTTCCCCTCTGGGATTCACGCTGGATCAGTATTTCCTCCAGTGTTCCAGCCTGAGCGACCAGATGATATAGCACCAAATCCCTTGCTGAGCGCTCGTTCCCTTTCCCATTTTCTTTCCATCCTGCTTATGTGGGGCGCAAGTCCAGCCTGGACCAGGGTCTCCCCCCAGCACCTGCTGTGCTCCCCGTTTAACAGAGAGGAGCTGGCCTCTGTCTGGCAGCCCTGCCTGCCCTGCCTCCCACCTGCCCAGAATTCTAGGCCGTGGTGAGTTTCCAGGTCCCCTCTGTCTGTGGGAAGTGATACTGTTTCCTTTCACAATAGTCATACACAGTTTCCTTCATAGAAATCTCTATTGTTTTCGGTTAAAAAAAAAAAAAGCATTAATAGTAGTAAGTAATTCTCGAGGTGGTGCTAGGACGTAGCCCGAGTGCCCAGGGAGAAAGGAAGGTGGCTGAAGCGTGGGAACCTGGGAGGAAGCGTGAGGCCCCTTCCTTCTGAGATGTGTGCAGGGCCCCGGGCGCCCCGGGCAGGAGGCAGAGCCCCAGCTCCTCACATCTCCCAGACCCTGGCCTGCCTCCACGGTGCCCCAAGGCTAAGCGGGGGGCTCACCTGTCCCCAGCCCCTCTGGAATGGAAAGACTTTCCCAGGGCTCAGGCCAGGTCTCTGCTGGTGACCTGCAGGCAGCCAGCGTTGGGCAGCCCCAGCTGTCCGCAGGCGCGGGTGGCTCCCTTGCCTAGAGCCTGCCTTGGCCTCGGTTCTGTTTCCACCATCTCCTCCTTGATCCTTTTCTTCCTCCTGCTTTTTCAGCCCTCTCTCCTTCCCTCTGTCTCTCCAGCCCCCCTTCTCATCCCTGTCTCCTCTTGTGTGTCTGTTTTTCTTATGTCTTCCTCTCTCTCTCTCCTTCTCTGTGTCTCTCCCCTGACATTCTCGCTCTCTCTCTCTCCCTCCTTCAACATCTGTTTTTCTGTGAAAAGCTCACAGATTTCAGAACCACCCAGACTTAAAACCATATCCCAGGGGCTGGCCCAGTGGCATAGCGGTTAAGTTCGCACACTCGGCTTTAGCCCCCCGGGGTTCGCAGGTTCAGATCCCAGGTGCAGACCTACACCACTCATCAAGCTATGCTGTGGCGGCATCCCACATACAAAATAGAGGAGGATGGGCACAGATGTTAGCTCAGGGCCAATCTTCCTCGAGCAAAAAGAGAAAGATTGGCAATAGGTGTTAGCTCAGGGCCAATCTTCCTCACCAAAAAAAAGTAGATTTGGAGTCTCATTTTCACCCAAAAGCTAAAAATAAAAAAAGGAATTTCTAAAAGGAAAAAAGAACACCTACCCAGCTGCCCCCATTCTCTGGCTATGTGACCCTGGGGAGCTGCTCAACTTCTCTGAGCCCACTCCTCTCTTTGTAAACTGGGATGCTAACAGAAGGACCTGGTGAGGATGGGACGAGGTGGTGCCTGCACAGTGTTGAGCACAGAGCCAGCACGCAGCAGGTGCTCAATAAATGCCCGTTTCCTCTTGGCCTCTCTCCTCTCAAAACCTGTCCTGACTTCTCTGTCCCCCTGAGCCCCTCTGGCCTATATCAGAGGTCAGCCATGGGGGTCCAGACAGAGCAGGGGACGGTGTACCCTGCTGGGGCCCCCCACAGACCCTGTGATTATTAGCATGGGAACAATGTGGCCAGCAGGCACACAAGCCCTGCCAGCCCTGGATATTGGGGCACTGTTGTCCCCACTGGCTGCACAGAATGGACAGTGGTCCTCTGAGCCACTCTCTTGGCAGCAGTGTGGCTGGTTCCTCCCTGGCCCTCTCTGAGGCCCTGCACACCCAGAGGATGACAGCTGGGGGCCAGGACAGGCAGGACGAGCCCACCTGCCAGCGCATGCCACGTCGGGATGTCCTGGCCTGGGCACTGCCTGCCACTTGGCCACCATGCTGGGGGGACACCTGGTGCAGGGGCCCAAGTCTGGGAGACTGCAGGCCCTGCCTCCTCCTTTCTGCCTGCTGGTGACTATCACCAAGGTGTCGAGCCCCACCGGGGGAGGGTTTCTCTGTCCGGCTGTTGGGTGCTGCTGAAACCTTCGGGGCGGATGACCCCCCTGGATGAGCAGGCTCACGGCCCCCGCCCTGCTGCCCAACACTCTAGGCAGCCTCTGCGAGCAGAGCTGCCCGTCAAAAGCAGCCTCTCCCCTCCTGGTGCTCCCTGACGGCAAACCCCAGGCCCCTCTCATGTAGATCCCTGGCCATCAGCAGGGGTACTCCTCACTGTCTGGGCTCCCTGTGCAAGGCCCTCCTCCCCCCGCCCGTGATGTGGGAGAGTTAAGGCAATGACTTCATTGGGAGAGGTCTGGGGAGGTGTCAGACATTAGGGGACAGAGCTCTCACCAGGGCAAGACACCAGACAGCTGATCTCGGCTCTGCTGGCAACTTGCTGTGGGAGTTTGGTCCTGCCACCTATCCTCTCTGAGCCTCAGTTTCTCCAAACGTAAAAGGAATGGGCTGGATGAGATCCAAATGACCTGCCAGAGTAGATTTGTAGCCAGCCTGGACTGGGGCCTATGGCAGAGTAATTGCCATGACTCATTTAGAGTTTACCCTGAGTATTTTACTACGGTGAAGGAATTGAGGCTTAGAGAGGCCAAGTAACTTAGCGAAGGTCACACAGCTGGGGAGTGAGGGTGGGACCAGGATTCAAACCTGTCCAACCAACCTGCCCTATGCTTAGCCACCATGCTGCAGTACCATAGTGTGTATAGTCAACAGTCCTGCCCCCGAGGGGCTTATCAGAACCCATGTGCAACCATGAGAGGATGAGCTGGGATATATCATGGCAAGGGGGAGCAGCCTTAGGAATTCTGAGACAGTGTGCAGTCAGGGAGGGCTTCCTAGAGGAAGAGGCCTCACAGTCCTCCCACAGGCCTTGGGGAGGAGCTTCAGATGGGCACCCTAATCCAGGAGGGTTCATTCCTTTCCTGAGCATAGAGAGCTTTGTCGAGGGAGAGTTGGCAGAAGAGTGAGTGATTCCCTCTCTGTGGGCTGGTGGATCCAGTTATCCATGGAGGCCCTAAGCCCTAGCAGGGAGCTGTTGAGAGGTCAGGGGACTCCCAGGAAGAGGGGGCCCCCCAGCCCCAGCCCCATAGGCCCCTGAGCCATGGCCAGGGAGAGGCCACCTGCTCTCTTCAGATACTCGTTGAGCCCCTTCTCTGTGCCAGGCCCTGGGCCACGGCAAAGCCCCACCTCATCCTCCTGCAGGAGACAGACAGTTAACGCACGAACACATCAATAGATAATATAGTTCCAGAAGAGGTCAGTGCTGTGGGGAAATCAGGCTGGGCGGGAATGATGACCGCATGGACCAATGTCCAGTGCAGCGGTGGGAGTGCTGGGCGGTACTTTGAGAGTGGGTAGGGGTGGGCCAGGGTCAGTGCGGCCGGGCTTCCCTCTGGAAGTGAGGCCCACAGCCTAAAGCTGATGGTGACTGAGAGTCCACTGGGCACAGGGGACAGAAGAGAGTTCCAGGCAGAGGACTGGATGTGCAAAGGCCATGTGGCTAGAGAGGTTGGGAGAACATGAAGGACTGGAACACGCCCAGTGAGGCTGCAGTGGGTAGATCGAGCAGGGCCTGAAGGATCTTGGTGTTTATGCTGCGAGGACTGGAGACGTAACTAGGGGAATGACATGCCGTTTGTGCATTTTGAAGAGCGCGCACTGGCTGCAGGGTGGAAAGTGGATTGGACCAGGGCAGAGGGCTTGCGTTAGCCATTATGATTTCCAGGTGGTGGCCATAGCCGCTGGGGCCAGGGTGGAGGCAGAAGAGACAAGAAAATAGATGGAAATGAGAGGCACTTGGCGGAAGAGAGAGAGATGTCCCGCGGCCGTGTCCTGCGCCTCACATCCTCAGACCTGCCCCCGGTGGCCTCTCTCCTCCTCGCAGGCCTGCGGGTACGAGAGGTGCAGATCGAGGTCTCACGGCAGCAGGTGGAGGAGCTGTTCGGGCTGGAGGATTACTGGTGTCAGTGCGTGGCCTGGAGCTCCGCGGGCACCACCAAGAGTCGCCGGGCCTACGTCCGCATCGCGTGTACGCCGCCCTGACACCCCACCCCATTCCCCAGGGCCCCTGCCCCTTCCCCGTGGATCCTAGGGAGGGAATTCCACATCTGTCGGGCCATCCCTGGCTGGACATGCCCACCGCAGAGACATTGGGGCCCACGGATGCCAGCTCAGAAGAAGGCTCCCGGACCCACAACCTGGGCCACCTCTAGCCCCAGGATTTCCAACGGCCGTTTTTCGTCTATGTCTGTGTGAGGAAGCTGCCAGCATCCTCACCTTCCTGGGCCACCATGTGCTTAGGATCCCAGGGTCAGGGAGGGAACCCCGTTCCCCTAACTCCACCTGGTGAGGCCCCCACTTTGGAGAAGAGGAAGTTGCCCAGGTGAAGCCCAGGTGGCCCCAGGAGCATCCCCTTGGTGTGCACTGCCACCTAGTGACCAGAGTGGGGCACTTCAGGCTGCAGCTCTGCCTAACTGTGCCTCGGGACCTGCCTTCTCCCAGACCTGCGCAAGAACTTCGATCAGGAGCCCTTGGGCAAGGAAGTGCCCCTGGACCACGAGGTTCTCCTGCAGTGCCGCCCACCAGAGGGGGTGCCTGTGGCTGAGGTGAGTGGGGGACGCGGGGAACACTGGGCGTGGCAGAGACCAGCCAGGCATGGAATTTACCACCAGCCACCATGCCTCAGCCTCTCAGAGCGCCCCCCATTTCACAGATGGGAATATTGTAATCCTGCTGGAACAGGAACCCCCAGGGCTCCTTGCACAGGCCCCAGGCTCAGTCTTCTGCAAGGGAAGGGCTTTTGGCTAAACACATCGTCTCCCCTTGCCTCACCCAGAACCCAAGGCTGCAGCATTATGGATGCCCAGGGGTCTCACAATGTGTGTATCTGAGCGTGTACTCACCCCACGTGGCCTTTGCATGCCTGGGCAGTGCCCACCTGTCCTCTCTCACCACCCCTGCTGTGTTCCACACACACTCCCTCTCTCCCACCCCCACACTGGTGGTCCAGGAGTTAGAGCAGGGCATGGGGGACATCTCAGCTTTGCCGCTGGGGGCCCCAGGAGAACAGGGGTTGGGGAAGATAGGACCCTGTGTTCCTAGCTCGGGACCAGCCCTGTCTGACCCCAGAACCTTGCTCTGATCACCTAGCCTCCCCCAAGCCCATGCCCGCATCTGGAAGGGGGCTTGGACACACACCCTGTGTTCAGTACCCCTCACTGGGCTCCCACCTGTGCCGGGCACTCGGCACACTGGTCTTCATGGAGACCCTGCAAGGTGGACCTTGTCATCCCATCTTAGGGCCGGGCAAACAGCGCTGGGGTGGGTGGAGCGGTCACCCAGGGAGACCCAGCTAGTGAGTGGCAGAGCTGGGATTTTTTTTTTTTAAAGATCTTATTTATTTATTTTCCCCCCAAAGTCCCAGTAGACAGTTGTCTGTCATAGCTGCACATCCTTCTAGTTGCCGTATGTGGGACACAGCCTCAGCATGGCCGGAGGAGCGGTGCGCACCTGGGATCTGAACCCGGGCCGCCGGCAGCGGAGCGCACGCACTCAACCGCTAAGCCACGGGGCCGGCCCCCAGAGCTGGGATTTGAATCTAGGTCTGCCAGACCCAGGGACCATGTACTTACTCGCCTGCCAAGCCTCCCACCCTAGCTCAGGGAGTTGGTTTGGAGAGTTAATGATGAGAGCAGGTGCTACCAGCTAACACTTACTTCGTCCTCACTGTGAGCCAGCACTGTTCTCCACACTCTCCACATAGTGATTCGCTCCGTCCTCACAACAGCCCGCAGGGTTGATGCTATGAAATCCCGTCTTAGTTGATGAAATTGAGGCCGAGTGTAAGGCCCTTCCCCAGGCTGCCCAGCTGGTGGGTGGCCGTCTTAACCCCTGTGTCCTGTAGTGCCCGGCACAGTGCCTGGTCCTGCCTCGCCGTTGTCACCCCTGTGGGTGGACGTCGATAGGGCTGCCGTCCTATTTACGGCCAGACCTCCCTCCCCCGAGGGCGGGCGGCTCCCGGGAGGCAGGTGAGCAGGCCTGGCCCTCACGCCCCCCGCCGCGCTCCTGTAGGTGGAGTGGCTGAAGAACGAGGACGTCGTCGACCCCACCCAGGACACCAACTTCCTGCTCACCATCGACCACAACCTCATCATCCGCCAGGCCCGCCTGTCGGACACCGCCAACTACACCTGTGTGGCCAAGAACCTCGTGGCCAAGCGCCGCAGCACCACGGCCACAGTTGTCGTCTATGGTGCGGGGGAGTGGGGGGGCGGGTGAGGGAGGGGAGGGCCTGGGGCTACACGGCCCTCCTGACCCTGCCCTAGCCGGAGGCCAGCGGGTCCCTGGTGAACAGGTGGAGAGGACGGGGCCCAGAGAGGGGAGGCGCCCTCGCCAAGCTCACAGAGCAGAGCTAGTGGTCAAGTCGGGCACTCCTGGGGCCCCAGCCAGGAGCACTGCCCCTTCTCAGGCGCATTGCCTATCGCTGAAGGAGAATCCAGTTCTCTCGGAGTCCGGGTGGGGGCAGGGCCCAGTGGGTGTCCCCATACCCAAGCCTGCTGTCCTAGCAGAGTTAGGGACTGCTGCCCAGGCCTGTAGGCTGTCCCCTGGGGTGGGAGGGGCAGAGCCACAGCTGAGATGCCTCAAGTGTTGCAGAAAGAGCCCTGTATTGGATTCCAGTCCCAGATGCCCCATCACTCACAGGGTGACCCTCTCTGACCTTCGTTTGCCACTGTACAATGGGGTGGGGAATAGATAGTGACCTCCTGGGTCCACTCTGATGCTGACAGTCGCAGCCCAGGTCTGCCCATGGGTATCTGAGTCCCCAGCCCTGCAGGCAGGAGGGGTCCAAAAAAGAAGGGCCAGGCCTCAGTGGAGGGGCCGCATCAGGGCTGGGGGATGGGGCCTGGGGCCCACGGGTCACAGACCCAGGCTAACCGGGTGACACCCGCTACCCCTGCAGTGAACGGCGGCTGGTCCAGCTGGGCAGAGTGGTCTCCCTGCTCCAACCGCTGTGGCCGCGGCTGGCAGAAGCGCACACGGACCTGCACCAACCCCGCCCCACTCAATGGAGGTGCTTTCTGCGAGGGCCAGGCCTTCCAAAAGACCGCCTGTACCACTGTGTGCCCAGGTAAGGCCGCTGGCCAGGCGGCACCCTGCCCACACCCAGCCCCGCCTTCTGTGCTGTGGTGTCTGCCAGAGTCAGGACAGCCATTCTCTCCCCATCCTGGGGAGCAGAAGGTGCTTGGCCTGGGCTCACAGCTGGCTGACCAGACTGGACTAGATGCTACGACCTCTGACCTCTTGTTCTGCCCTGGGCTGCTGCTGGAGAGACAGAGGCAGAGGCTCTGAGCTGCAGTCTGAGGGGTGGGCTCTTCTGGCCTCCACGCTGAGGGTTCTCAGTGTCAGGCCCCTGGGCCAGGGTCCCAGAGCTTAACTGTTAGACTCACCTTGATCACCGACCCTGATCCTGAAGGGATCCTCTTCTCCTTATGTCTGCGTCTTCCTCTCTGTGTCCCCATCTGTTTGTCTGTCCTTGCACTTCTGTTGGTGTGAACGATGTGGTGTTTTTTACCATGGGTTTGTGTCTCTGTGTGTACACTTGTGAGTGGGCTGTATCTGTGTGAGTGACCTTATGTGTCTATTTGTGTTCTCTTTGCCCGCCTGGTGCACCTGATTGCATGGGGCTGCATGGATATGGTGTGGATTTCTCTGTATGGCCTGTGTGTCTTGGGTTCCTCTTTCCCTGCCTCGGTCTGTGTGTGTGTGCGCGCGTGCGTGCGCATTGCTGTGTTCTGCACAACTGCGTGTGCATGTGTCTGCATGCACGGGTCCCCACGTGCCGTGTGCTGTGCTCCTGCAGTTGACGGAGCGTGGACGGAGTGGAGCAAGTGGTCGGCCTGTAGCACCGAGTGTGCCCACTGGCGCAGCCGCGAGTGCATGGCGCCCCCGCCCCAGAACGGAGGCCGGGACTGCAGCGGGACTCTGCTCGACTCCAAGAACTGCACAGACGGGCTGTGCATGCAGAGTGAGTCCTCAGGAAGGCGGGGCCCGGGGCTGGGGATCTGGAGCCCCCAAGCCCACCCCAGGCCTCAGTGCCCGGCCTGCAGTGGAGCCGCCCTCGGGGCCTCTGCCCGCCCACCACGTCCATCATCTCATCTGCGCATTTCCCCGTCACCGTCTCCACCACCCTTTCTTGCCACCTGTGTCACTCTTTCCCTTTATTTCCCTCGACAGATAAGAAAACTCTAAGTGACCCCCAAAACCACCGTAAGTCCCATTTCATGGCTGTCTTCTTTCCTCTGGGGGGGTCCCTGGTTCTCTTTGGCTGGCTTTTCCAGGGTGTGGGGTGCAGGCAGGGCAAGGGACAGGGAGAGTTGAAGGTGCCCCCTCACCAACCCCTCACGGGGCTCCCAGCACCCGACGCTGCGTCGTGGCCTCCATCACTGCCGACAGGCAGACCCTGGACTGACAGGCCCAGGACACCATCCTGACCCTCGCATTACGGGAGAGGAACCTAGTCTCAGAGAGAAGGAGGGACTTATCCACGGATCCAGCCAGGATTTAAACCTAAATATCTGTGTGGCCAAAGCTGTTGCTAAGCCCTGTTCCCTCGGCCTCCCTCCCTGGGACAGGGCCCATAGGCAGGCCCACACCTGTCCATCCTGGTGCCCCTCACTGTACCCCCAGCAGCTGGACCGCAGCTTCCTGGGTTCTCTGGGATGCCCGCTGCCCTGCACCACGCCGAGGGGCTCACCTTCCAGCCCCCAGGGGTGCTCTGTGCTGCAGTAACAGAGCAGTGAAGCCAGTGGGGCAGCAGGAGGGACCAGGGCCCAGAAGGTGGCAGAAGTGGGCAGACACTGGGGCTGAGAGCCAGGCCCTGAGGGGAGTGGGGCTGGAGGAGTCCTGACAGGGAGAGCAGGCCTGCCCCTGAGGGGCCACCCTGGGAGGGGAGAGTGGACAGCTGCCTCCTGTCTCCCGCAAGAAACAAGGGGGACGAGCAGCCGTCTTGGCTCCGCCTGTGCTGTCCAGTGTGGTAGCCACTAGCCACATGTGGCTATTTAAACTTGTATTTTTAACTATTGTGAAAATTAAATACATTTTAAAACTCAGTTCCTCTGTCGCCACAGCCACATTTTAGTTGTTCAGTGGCCGCATGTGGCTAGTGGCTGTTGTGTGGGACAGCACAGACATAGGATATTCCATCATCGTAGACAGTTCTAGTAGACAGTGTACTTTAGACCCTGCCTCTTGACCCTGACACCTTCCCCCTGGCCTGGGGCAGCCTGCCCTGCCCCCCACCCAGAGCTGGGTGTCCTCCAGCCCAGCAGCCTGTCGTGGGGAGGGGAGCGTAGCCATGGGTTGCCTCCTATAGCCCCTTCTCTCCTCTCTTCCTGCTCATCTCCTCTCCACCCCATTGTCATGCATCTCGTTCCCCTCCTCCTGCTCCCCCTCTGCCTCCACCTCCCACCCTCAGCACAGAATGGAGGATGAGCTCAGAGCGGCTACTCGCAGAGATTTCTGGGAGCCTAGAGGTCCTATGGAGGGTGCTACAGGCTGCAAGTGAGGCTCTAGGTTTAAATCCCAGCTGGGACGGGACAAGCGGGCCCCAGTGACTCTGAGCCATAGACCCTGTCCCCTCTTCAGCAGCGAGCAATGAGCTAACCCTTGGGAGTGACCAAGAGTGGCTTTGCCTCTCCTTGCCACTCCGGGAGAGAAGCAGGGCAGGGGTTTTGAGACCATTTTACTTATAGTAGAGACTGATGCTCAGTGAGGTTCAAGGCTTGCCTGAGGTCGCCAGCCTGTCTCGGCAGGGCACAGACTAGAACCTAGCACAGGCCAGTTTCCCCAGGGACCCCGGGCCTCCCCTGGGTCTCTGCCCCTGCTCCTCACGCGGCCCTCCTGTCCCCGCAGTCCTGGAGACCTCGGGGGATGTGGCGCTGTACGCGGGTCTCGTGGTGTCCATCTTCGTGGTCGTGGCCGTCCTCATGGTGGTGGGGGTGGTCGTGTACCGCCGCAACTGCCGTGACTTTGACACTGACATCACCGACTCCTCCGCCGCTCTCACTGGTGGCTTCCATCCCGTCAACTTCAAGACTGTGAGGCCCAGTAAGGACCTGGGAACTCCTGGGGTGGCGGGTGCGGGCGGGGGACCCAGAGGAGCGTGGCAGCCAGCCAGACCAGCCAGACCCAAGAGGGGGCTCCTGACTGCCTCCCAAGGTTTTTCTAGAATTTGCTGTAAAGATAATGGATGAGTATGGATTAGAGAGGTGCAGAAAAGGAAGGGAGTAACCCAGGCTGCCGAGTCCCCAAAGCTTCCTGCAGCAGGTGGCCATTGAGCCTTCCGCAGCTGGACATTTGGGTGGGATTGTGCAACAGAAGGGCCCCCGGCAGCAGCAGAGGGTGGGCCTGGGCCAGCGAGGCACGGCTGGGTCTGACTGTAGCCCCGACCCCTGCAGACAACCCACAGCTCCTGCACCCGTCGATGCCTCCAGACCTCACGGCCAGTGCCGGCATGTACCGCGGGCCCGTGTACGCCCTGCAGGACTCGGCCGACAAGATCCCCATGACCAACTCGCCCCTGCTGGACCCCCTGCCCAGCCTCAAGATCAAGGTCTACAGCTCCAACACCACCAGCTCCGGGCCAGGCCTGCCAGATGGGGCTGACCTGCTGGGGGTCCTGCCACCTGGCACGTACCCTGGTGAAATCGCCAGGGATGCCCACTTCCTGCACCTGCGCAGCGCCAGCCTTGGCTCCCAGCAGCTCCTGGGTCTGCCCCGTGACCCGGGGAGCAGCGTCAGTGGCACCTTTGGCTGCCTGGGCGGGAGGCTCAGCATCCCCGGCACAGGTGGGCCCCCACTCTGCCTGCCCATCAGCCTGGCCTCAGCTTGTCCCCTCGACAACCCCAGCCCCCACCCCACAGAAGATAGAGCTTCCCTGATCCCATTTCACAGACAGGAAAAGTGAGGCCGAGGGGAAAAAAGTGACTATAAGAAGACCTGGGGTTCAGGCCTGCCTCTGCCTCATTAGGGCAGGGGAACCTTGGACGAGCCACCCTCTAAACCTCAGTTTCTCCATCAGTTAAGTGGGAGAGAATACCCCTAGGTAGTTCAACAAACCTACAGAGTGCTGTTGAAAAGTCAGGGCTGCCCATCTCAGGTGCACAGCCAGCAGTTGACAGTTTCCCAGTGTCATACACTGAGCTGGGGCTGGAGCTGGCACTGGGACCCTCAGCCTCCAGGTCTTTGCCCCATCTCTGCACCCCATTGCAATGCCAGAGGCCCCTGTGTTACAGGACAAGCCTGCTGTGGTCAGTGGCCTGGCCTCTTCTTGCACCCAGTCCCCAGACCTTCTCTCCTACCCCTTGCTGGTGCCCACCTGGAGCTCAGGTGTCTTTCTCTCCCTGCCCCAAGCTGGGGGCCAACCCCCATCCCCTGTTTAAGCTCCTGGACTCCCTCCAGCCTCTCCCTGCTGACCTCTCTCTCCCCCTAGGGGTCAGCCTGCTGGTGCCCAATGGAGCCATCCCCCAGGGCAAGTTCTACGAGATGTACCTCCTTATCAACAAGGCAGAAAACACCCTGTGAGTAGAGAGACCCCAGCCCGGCCTGGGCTGCCCCCTCCTCTTCCTCTCTGTCTCTGCTGCCCACCCACCTTGTGCTCAAATATCACCATCTCCCCTTCTAAGCCTGATCCTAAGGCCAGAGGTAGTCCTCCAAGGGAAACATTGATAGATCTTATTATGTCCACATTTAGAATGAGCAAAACTGGGGCCGGCCCGGTGGCGCAAGCAGTTAGGTACACGTGCTCCGCTGCAGCGGCCTGGGGTTCGCCGGTTCCGATCCTGGGCGCGCACTGATGCACTGCTTGGCAAGCCATGCTGTGGCGGCGTCCCATATAAAGTGGAGGAGGATGGGCATGGATGTTAGCCCAGGGCCAGTCTTCCTCAGCAAAAAAAAAAAAGAGGAGGATTGGCAGATGTTAGCACAGGGCTGATCTTCCTCACACACAAAAAATGTGCAAAACCAGGGGCTGGCCCGGTGGTGTAGTGGTTAAGTTCGCGAGCTCCACTTCAGTGGCCCAGGTTCACGGGTTCAGATCCCGGGCGTGGATACACCGCTCATCAAGCCACACTGTGGCAGTGTCCCACATACAAAATAGAGGAAGATTGGCACAGATGTTAGCTCAGGGACAATCTTCCTCGCCAAAAAAAAAAAAAAAAGGAAAGAAACATGCAAAATCAGCACAAATTATAAAACTGAAAGGCAACTGACAAACTGGCTACAACATGACAAAGGGTTAATACCCTTCCTATGTTAAGAGGTTTTAGAGACCAGTGAGAAAAGTGGAACATCTCAGTACACAAATGGGCAAAGGATGGGAACAAGGGATTCACACACACTCTCTCTTATACACACACCCATGTGCGTGCACACACACACACTTATAATGGCCAGTAGGTAATGAGAAAATGTTCAACCTAATTTGTAGTCAAAGAAATAGTAATTCAAACAGCCATGAGATATTGAGAGTTTTTTGCTTCATGAATTTGCAAAGATTTTTCAAACGGTAACACCTTCATACTGGCAAGAGCGTGGGCACGCAGCCCTCCCATGATGTGCTGGTGGGAGCATGGATTGGTACCAGGTTCCAGAGGGCAGTTTAGCAACATCTGTCAAAAACATTCCAAGAGTGCAGAACCTTTGAAAACGCGAGCAAGATTTGGCTGTGAGAATGTTGCAGTGTAACAGCAATGATCTGGAAACAGTCAAGGCCTATGCCATGTTTCTGCCTCTCCTTAACCCCTGACCTCGGGGGGTCCCAGGGGTGGAGACCTGCCTTCTACCAGCCCAGAAGGGAGCCGGGGCAGAGGTGGGAGCCAGCACCAATCTGGGCCCTTGCTGAGCTTCAGGCCTTCTCTCACTGCCTTCCTCCCTCCCTCTGCCCTGCCCCAGCCCACTTTCAGAAGGGACCCAGACAGTATTGAGCCCCTCCGTGACCTGCGGGCCCACGGGCCTCCTGCTGTGCCGCCCCGTCATCCTCACGGTGCCTCACTGTGCCGAAGTCAGTGCCGGCGACTGGATCTTCCAGCTCAAGACCCAGGCCCACCAGGGCCACTGGGAGGTGAGGAGCCAAGGCTGGGGGCAGGTCCACTATCTGAACCTGCCCCGGGGCTCGGGAACTGAGAGGAAGCCCCTTTCCTCCTGGCCCCACCTGGATGGACCCCTCCAGGGCCTTGACTGTGACCCATCCGCCTCACCCCCCGCTGTCACCCTGCAGGAGGTGGTGACCCTGGACGAGGAGACCCTGAACACCCCCTGCTACTGCCAGCTGGAGGCCAGGTCCTGCCATATCCTGTTGGACCAGCTGGGCACCTACGTGTTCACCGGTGAGTCCTATTCCCGCTCGGCCGTCAAGCGGCTCCAGCTGGCCATCTTCGCCCCCGCCCTCTGCACCTCCCTGGAGTACAGCCTCAGGGTCTACTGCCTGGAGGACACGCCCGTAGCACTGAAGGTAAGGCCAGGCCATAGGTACCCACACAGCCCTGGCACTCTGTGGGGGCATCCCGCCTGGCCAGCCAGCTGGCGTGGTACCTTCCAGGCTCCCCTCCACCACCATCAGCCTCATTCATTCATTCATTCCTCAAATATTCAAAGGGCATCAGACCCTTGAGATACAGAGATGAATCCGGCACAGTCCTGCCCTCGCCAAGCTCCAGGCTAGAGGTGGGAGACAGATGGGGGATCACTGATGGAGGACCAGTCTGGGAGGGGCTCGCCAGGCCTGGGTTGTTGAGGAGGGGGTCTGAGAAGCTTTGGAGCAGAGCTGACCTGAGACCTATGCTCCAAAGGACTAGTAGGAGTTCCGGGCAGAGAAGGGTAAAGGGCATTCCAGGAGGCAGAGCAGCTTACGCAAAGACAGGAGTGTCGACCTGTGTGACCAGAGCATGCAGGGATGTGAGCGCGTGAGGGAGGGAGGAGATGGGGCTGGAGAGATGGGCAGGCTCAGCTTCCCAACAGCCTTGGGGGCCATGCCAAGGAATTCGGAACCTATCCAGTGGGCAGGAGCATAGACCTGGTGGACACCTGTTCACAGATGCTCTTTTGGAAGCCCCTATGGCTACACTGGGGGGATGGGTAGACAAGAGGCAGAGAGGCCAACTGGGAAGCTGCAGCTGGACCCTGAGCTGGACCCTGGGCAGCAGCCAGTGGCAGTGGTGAGGAGAGGGGCTGGATTCTTGTGTTTAGTCGGTAGAATGGACAGAGCCAGTGACTGATGGGATGAGCAGGGGGAGAGGGGAGGGGTTGGGGCTGACAGCCAGACTCCTAGTGTATGCACAAGAACGGCCAGAGCCCCTAAAGGAGGGAGGGGCCATGGCAGGTGAGGAGCCGTTTGGGGCAGGGAGGGAGGGAAGGTGAAGGGATTGGATTTTCGCACATAGAGCCTGATGATGGCAGTTATGGAGCCCTGTGTTAGTACCACCCTGTCCCCCCCAGCCATTCCCTCCCCAGCCCTCCCCTCATTCCCAGGACCCCAGTCTCATCCTGACTACCACTGGAAGAGCACAAACCTTCGTTTAAACCCTGTTTAAACCCTTCTCTGTTCTCCATCCTTCCATTTACTCCTCTGCACTCCTCTGCGAAGCCTCACAGTCCTTTCCGGTAGCTCCATGCCTCCTCCCACCCATGGTCTGTGGTCTCTTCTAGCTCCCTTGTCTCCCAGGCTCATGTGACTTGTCTCAAACTCCAGGTTGCAGACTGATGCAACACAGGTGAAAAGGTCTCATGGGAGAGAGTGTCTCCTGCTGGGACCAGGCTGGCCTGACATTCCAGGAGGCCCATAATGGGTTGGAGCCTCCTGGGAAATGCTCTTGCAGCCTGGATCTCTTGGTACTGGGGCATTGGCTAATGTCCGGCTTTGGTCAGAGAATGGAGTGGAGATCAAGGAGGAAGTTGCCACATTTTGGCTTGATGGCATTCTTTGTTTATTCGGTCCCTATCTGTCCATCCATCCATCCAACTTTCTGTTTATCTGTATATATACTCATTCAGTCAACAGTCCATCTGTCCATGCAGCCATCACCCATTCATCTGTTTATCTTTCCTTCCATCTATCCTTCTGTTTATATACCCATCCCTTTGTATATCCATCTGCACACCCATCTGCCTGTCTCTTTGTATCTTTCCATCTGTCCATCTATTTATCCATCCATCTATCCATTCATATATCCATCAGTTCATCTATAAATCCACTCATCCATCCTTTTGTCCATCCATCCATCCCTCTGTCCACACACAGTAAGTCTTCTGTGAGCACTTACCAAATCCCCAACCCTGTGCTCAGGGGGGCCCCTGCCCTCAATGGTACAGCCTGGTTCCCTGTGCCCACATGTGTCCCCAGCTCCCAAGCTTGCAGCGGGAGAGGGCCCACTGGCCAGGTCTGATGGGCTCCCCCTTCCCATTGACCCCGGCCCACAGGAGGTGCTGGAGCTGGAGCGGACCCTGGGCGGCTACCTGGTGGAGGAGCCGAAACCCCTGCTGTTCAAGGACAGTTACCATAACCTGCGCCTCTCCCTCCACGACATCCCCCATGCCCACTGGAGGAGCAAGCTGCTGGCCAAGTACCAGGTGAGGCTGGACCAAAGGAGGGCGAGGGATGGAGCTGGGGAGGGGACGCACTTGGGGGCTGCGCAGGGAGGACCACATCCCCTCTCAGGCCCAGGCCTGCCTCCTCCCTCGGTCCTGCAGCCTGACCCCACTCCCCATAGTGTCTCTCTGTGTCTCCCTCCCACCCACTCTCCATGCTCCCAGTCATCCTTAGGCTCACCCCCACATTCGGGGCCATTGACAGCCACACTCCCACCCCCACCCCGTCACACACTCCCACGCACAAATATCTGTACACATCATCTTCAGAGAGCATTCATGCCTGGCAGACTGTCCAAACTACTCTCCAATGGTCATGTCCCTCTGCCCCACCCGCTTGTGTGACACCATTGAGTCCACAGGCTTCCCAGCCCCAGACACACATGCACACTCACACTCACACGTTAAGGCTTGTGCCTTCTCCCCCTTTCTCAGCTGAAGGGCCCTTGACCAGCTCTTCGTCCTCTGCCCCTCAGGATGGAGAGGCCTGAACTGACCCCATTACCTGCCTCTACCTCCGGTCCCCAAGGGCAGAGCAGGCTGACCTCACTTCCTTGACCCTGACCCCCTCCTCCCACAGGAGATCCCCTTCTGTCACATTTGGAGTGGCAGCCAGAAGGCCCTGCACTGCACCTTCACCCTGGAGAGGCACAGCCTGGCCTCCACGGAGTTCACCTGCAAGATCTGCGTGCGGCAGGTGGAAGGTGAAGGCCAGATATTCCAGCTGCACACCACGCTGGCGGAGGTGAGCGCTGAGGACAGGCGCCCCGGGGGGCAGGGCGTGCAGCATGCAGACCCCCTGCTCCCGCTCCTCTGGGTGGAAATGCCATCTCCCATAAAGACATGTCCCCCTCACCTCCAAAGTCTGAGCTGGGGCCTGGTTACTTTTTGCTAATGACTACCCCTTACCGAGTGCCGGTCCTGGGCTTGGCCTGTACCAGGCGACATAAATTATCTCCTTAAATCTTCACAGCCTCCAGGGAGACAGAAACGACGATCCCCACCTGGGAGCTGAGAAAGCTGGTTTTAGGGAGGGCAAGTGTTATCAGCCTTGTATCAGGTCAATGCTTGGCCCAAGCCCACGGCTCTCCCCCGCTATAAATCGGGATTGAGGTTTACAAGACCCAGGCCACCGGGGACGGTGCCAGACCCCCCTTGCAGTGCAGTGTAAAGAGCACTGGATATGGATCTAGACCCAGCTCTGCCACTAACGTGGCATGTGACCGTGGGCAAGTCACTTCTCTTTTCTTGACTTTGTTTTCCACATGTTTGTAAAAGTGGGTCCAGAGGGATTAGACTATGGCTGAGGCTGGTTATGGTTTCGTAATCATGCATCAGCATTAGCCCAGGGTGGGACATCAGCATGGTGCTCCCTGAGGGCTGGGCTTTGGGCACACAGCTCTGGCCCTCGGGAGCTGACCTTCTGGGGAGGAGGGCTTTGAGCAGCTGGAGCCTGCCCAGAGGGTGGGGAGGGGCGGAGGCCCAGTGCCGTGCATGGGGGAGCCCTCTATCCCTCTCACCCTTGCCCTCTGCCCTTCCAGACGCCGGCTGGCTCCCTGGATGCCCTCTGCTCTGCCCCTAGCAGCGTGGTGACCACCCAGCTGGGACCCCATGCCTTCAAGATCCCACTGTCCATCCGCCAGAAGATATGCAACAGCCTGGATGCCCCCAACTCACGGGGCAATGACTGGCGGCTCTTGGCGCAGAAGCTCTCCATGGACCGGTGAGTGTCGGGACAGGCCTGCCCCACCCAGACCACAGCCCACCCCCGCCTCCCTGTGCCCAAGGGGCAGGCAGAGCAGGCCACCTGACAGTCCAAGATCAGATCCCACCATCTGCCGTAGGTCAGAGGCTCAGGTTTGGGCATGTTAAGTCCGAGGAGCCCGTTCTTTGAGGAGCTTCGTGCTTGTGAGGATCAGATGAAGCTAGGACACCAGCGAGGTGTGATCACCACCAGCACCCCCATGCCCAGGACAGAGCCAGTGTTCTGGAAATGCTTGCTGAGTGACAGACTACATCTTGGTACATCAAAACTCTTCTGGAGAGCTTAAAATGCTGGATAAATATAATGGCAATAATAATCATTATGATTATGTTATACTTATTGAGAAATCACTTAATAAACCTGCATTAAGCAGAGGCCATGTAGAAGACATCTTACTAGAAATGAGTGGGATTTACAAAGATGTCCAGGGCTTTGTTCCTGGGGTCAGAGGAATGCACGGGGCGAGACCAGGTGGGGAACGAAGGTGAGAGGAAGAGAGAATGGAATGCAGGTTTGGACAGTCTCTCTGGGGCCAGTGTCTTTCAATGATAATAACAATGATGATGATTGATGATGAGCAAGACAGTTTCCATTTTAGAGATGAGGAGACTGAGGCTCAGAGAGGAGCAGTGACTTTCCCAGGGGAAAGCAGAGGGGCTGGCATTCAGATCCAGGATCGTGGGATCCCAGAGACCGCTGGCTTCCCCCTTCCTGGAGCTCCCTCCACCCCCAGGCTCCTGGGAGGTGCTGAGCATCTGGGGAACCCAGTGTCCTTCTCCTTCCCTCCGCCAGGTACCTGAACTACTTTGCCACCAAAGCGAGCCCCACGGGTGTGATCCTGGACCTCTGGGAGGCTCTGCAGCAGGACGACGGGGACCTCAACAGCCTGGCCAGTGCCTTGGAGGAGATGGGCAAGAGTGAGATGCTGGTGGCCGTGGCCACTGACGGGGACTGCTGAGCTGCCCCAGCTGTGGCTAGTAGGGACTGGCAGGAGGCGGGCACAAGGAGGCCTGGGACAGCCTCCTGTGGGGCAGGTAGTCAGGCCTCCACTGCCCCCGGCTCACAGCCGGAGTCACCCTCCACTCTTCCTGTCCTTGCCCTGCCCCCAGACCACGACCAGCCTTAGGAAATCCATGTCCTCTGTCGGGAGGACCCAGTGCCCCTTCTCCATCCCCTGCCTCTCTCCTGACCTCAGACCTCCATGCAGGCCCCAAGGTGGGGCTGAGGCCTCTGGAGGCAGCTAAGGGAGCAAGGAGAGGCCACCCCCAGCCCCGGGACCTCTGGGTTACGTTTGTTATAGTTGCGTTCTTCACTTTCTCCCTCAGTTCTTGATTCTCCCTCCTCCCTGAGCCCCTTGTCCTTTCACACCATTTTCCTCTTTTAAGAGTCAAGTACAATTCACACAAACTGCTTTCGCCTGTCCAAAAGCAAAAAGGAAAAGGAAGGAAAGAAAGAAAGTTTCAGACCGCTAGTAAGGCTCAGAGAAGAAGAAAAACACCAAAACCACAAGGGAAAAGAAAAACCCAGTTTCTTAGGAAACGCAAGTGATTTATTATCCAGATATTTGGATAAGTCCTTTTTAAGAAAAAAAAGAAAATGAAAAACAACACAAAAAATAGAAAACTCTTTTCTTGAGTGTGGATGAGTGTGGGCGTGCTCATGGCCAGGGGTGTGTGTGTGTGTGTGTGTGTGTGTGTGTGTGTGTGTGTGAGTGAATCAGGGAGAGAGAGACTGCACAGGGAACACTTTGCTGCTAATGATCCCATCTTAGACTACATCCTTACGAGGCCTCAGTTTCCCCAGTTGTACAGGGTCAGATGGGGTTTTAGCCGTGGTACCATGTTTCTCTCTAAAATCTTAAGCAGATGCTGAATCCATAAAGCCGAGGAGCCCTGAGGTCTGGAGCGGGGTGGGGTCCTCCCTCCCTCCCACAGCCCCGGCAGATGCCCCACAGGCTCCTCTGGGCTCCTGGGAATCCAGACGAAGAAGCCCTGCGATGGAAAATGTGGCGGGCCAGGCCGGCTGTGAGCCAGGGAAAATGTTTCCAGTGCCATTGTCTGGTGGCTCCTGGAGAGGGGCTATGGCCCAGAAGTGGGGCCCTAGCAGAGAAAGAAGTGGGGGATGTGGGGCCCCCATGGATACCCCTCTCCTTCACCCCTAGGGTGGGGCCAGCCAAGACACCTCCCACCCAGCAGCCTCCAGACCAGGAGGGCTGGAGCAGGATGGCATTCTCTTAATGCCCAGGAATCTAGGATCCACCCTTCCCCGGCCTCAGTTTCTCCTTCTGTGAAACAGAAGGGATGGGTTAGAGGGCCTCTCTAGCTGCAGAAGCCTGCGCTTCTGGGCCTCGGTGTGCCTTTGAGGAACACGTTAGCCGTCAGCCCTGCAGCGGGAGCTTGGGAGGTGGGTGGCCCAGCCATGTCACACGCCTGCTGAGCGGAGGAGGAAGGGCGGAGGGCTACTTTCCCACCTCTGATCTCCACAGGCACCTCCCGTCCACCCGCTTCTCACCCTCCCACTGCAGTCTGGGAGATCCTGAAGTAAGCTTTGAACAGGCAGGGTTGCCAGAGCAGAGGGGCTGGTACACCCTCACCAGCCTGTTCCAGGATGTTCCAAAGGGGCCCTCAGGGTCCCTTCCCGGCTGGCTGGCCATGGCTGGGACCTGGATCTTGCAGCTGGCACAGAGGCCTCATCAAAGGCCTCTCCTCCTTGGCACCCAGGGCCAAGCAAGTGCCAGCTCCCCCGACAACTCTGGGCACTGACCCCAGAGCTTGCCACGGCAGGGCCGTGAGCAGCCACTGGGACCGCCTGGGCATGTCCTGGCCTTTGAAAGTCCTGTCTCCTGGGAGGGAAGCAGGTTTGGGGCTGCAGTCCACCCAGTGCCCCCAGCCTGGCTTCCCTGCCATGGACTCGGGAGCTTATGGGGGTTCTCACCACCCAGCAGCTCCCTTCGGGGTGGGTTGGCTGTGGGCAGACAAGGGCCTGCTCAGTTTGAGAGAGGATTCCTTCTATCAGGGCGGCTCAGGGGGCCAGCCTGCATCCGGGGCTGGGCCCCCAGGGCTGAGATCACGGCTCTTTACCCCAGTGCCTGTGTGGACGTTGCCTCAAAGGCAGCGAGCCTTCTCTGCCAAAGGTGCGCGTCCGCTGTGGGCTTAGCTTCCCTGGTCACTCCTAGCCCAAGTCATGTGGGCCTGTGTGATGGCCTGGCCCTGAGGGCAGCCTAACCAGTGCCGCAAGGAGCTCTACTGGTGCGGTCCCCAGCACAGGCTCTAAAATGCCCCCAGGCAGCCCCGAGTCCAAAGGCCAGCACTCGAGCTCCAGCTTTGCTGTTAAACTGCTGTGTGACCCCAGGCATATGACTGCCTTCTCTGGGCCTCGTTTCCTTTTTATACCCAGAAGGCCCCGCAGCTGCCGTCTGAGGCCCTTTGGGTTCTGACACGCTGTCATTCTCGGCTTCTGATGGGAACCCTGGTGGGTAGGCGTTGACCCAGGTCGGCCATGCCCCTCCTCCCCGCCCCACCCTCAGAAGCCGGCTTGCTCAGCGCCGGGGACGGGAGCTCTTGGTGGCTGAAGGCAGGCCAGCCACCCAGGTGCCGTAATCTGATTTCCAGAAATCGTGTACCAGGGCCTGGAGCACAGAAACGATCAGTTGGAGCCTCCCGGGAGGGTTCAGACTGTCCGGCTTGATAAGAAAAGCCCGGAAAGGGTTTGCAGTCTCCATCAATCTGCCGAGGCTGCGGTCGCTCCGTCCCCACACCGCCCGCCTCGGGTGGGACCGAGGTTTGTCCTCTTGTTCGGGCCCGAGAGGCAGCCGCACGGGGCCGGGTCCCCCAAGAGCGGCAGATTAGGGGCCACTGCGGGGCTCGCCCGGCCCTCGCACGGCTGGTTACATGTCTCGTCTCTGAGTGTGCCTGCGCATGCGTGTGTGTGTGTGCTTCTATCCTCGGGCACGTCAGGGTGCTCCTCCAGGAACATGTCCTCACCTGTGTGTGAGCGAGTGCCCTCCTCGCGTCCCCAGCTGGGGCGTCTGGAGCGGGCGTGCCTGTTTGCCCCCCCTGAGTCCACAGGGTCAGTCGGTGTATCTTTTACGTGCCTCTCCTCCGCCTTCTCTCGCAGTGCCCGGCTCCCGAGCTCCGGGCTGGGGGTCCTCCTGAGGGCATGGGGGACCTTCCCCATCGCCTAGACGATCCAGGGCCCTCTGGTCCCTTCTCCCAGCAACCAGGCAACTGAGCCAGGTCCCTTAGCAGGCCCTCTGAGGGGAGGTGACCAGGAGCCTGGGTGCAGGGAGCAGCTCTCCTCGGGGCAAAGGGCGGGACCCCCTGCCCGGGCCGTGGACATTGTTATATGTCCCCGGATGCAGGGATGGCCCCAATCCCACCTCTGTTTATTCTGTAAACTTCAACCTGTAAATAACGTTTAGCATTCCTATTGTAACAAAATTAATTTTTATGAAATAAATTATATTTCCTAGTCTAATAAAAAAAAATCCAGGTTGTATTCTGTTGTCTTCTTGACTTTCCATCAGCAGTTGGGAATGACCTTCCTGGTTTTCTCAAAATTCCATGTGTTTGGGGGCTGCGGTGTGTGTGTGGGGGGGTCACTGTCAGAGCTATCTGAGCTCCTGGAAATGAGCAAGCCCAAGTTCCTCATTTTACAGAAGGGAAAACTGGCCCAGAGAGGGATAAGGACTTCCCCGGGGTCACACAGCAAGTTAGAGCCCATTGCTAGATGTGGATCCCGGTCCCTGCTCCCCAGTCAGTGCTCTCAGTGCATAGCATTCGTAGAATATGTTCAGGGCGCAGTCATTGGAGCCTGCCGTGGGCTAGGTGATGGGCGGGAGGAGGAATGACAGAGATGAAGCCCCTGGCATCCCTGTCTGCCTGCAAGAAGTTCAGAAGGGTGCATCCCTGCTGGGGCTGAGGCTGAGGTCAGTTCAGAGCACTCATCTGGGACATAAGAAGATCACGCAGGCAGAACGGGCATGATGGGTGGACTGGGATCGTGTGGCCTGGGACCTAGGGCTGCCATGCATGGTTGGGCAGGTTACACACTGGACAAGACTACCATATCTAGGGGAGAGTGGTGCCATTCCCACACAGATTGTAGATTTGTGTATTTACTGTGAGATGTTTCCAGCAGATGGCAGTAAAGGGTCTTATAAAATCAACATATTGGTGTTAATTTTGCCACAGACGGAAGTGTCTTGAGGGGGCGTTTTTTTCTAGTTTGCAGGAAGGTGCACCAAGGCCTGTTTCAGCTGGTCCCCTCTGCCCTGTGGACCCCAGGTCTCCCTGTGTGAGTTGAGTCTGGTCCCAGCATTTCCCAGCATGCACTGCCTGCTCTGAGAGTGGATTCTGTGGTCTCATCAGTTTGGGGTGAGAGCACCCTCTCGCCCTGTTGTAGAGGTTCACGGTGGCCATCAGCACATTAAAGGCTCTGAGAAGGCCCGTGTGAGAAGCTGTTCTTGTATAAACAGGGTGTCCCAGATTTTTTGGCCATGGAACTCCTTTCTAGCCTTTTCATGCCCTGAAGCATGTGGTACCTGTGGGCCCTGCCAGCTCTGACTTTTGGGGACCTGTGGCTCTGGGGCATGTGCCAGGTATTGCCTGGCTGTCCCCTGGGGGTAGGGGGCACCTGGGGGCTAGGTCCTTTGGGAGCTCATGGCCTAGTCGGGGAGGGGGGCACACTTGCACATACACGCACAGCGCCACCACTCAGATTGTCATCATTCCTAGGGACGCTGAGTGCCTGGAGCCATCGCCTTCCGGTGGTGGTGGGGGGGTGGTGTGAAGGAAGAGATGGGGTTATAGCCTGAGGTGGGGCAGTAGCCCAGGGAGGCGGTGGGCAGAGTAAGATGTGGGGCAGTTATTTCATACAAATAGCCCCACAGGCAGGCAGATGGTCTGGGGTACCCCCAGGAATCAAGAGAACCCATTTAAACCCCCTTTCCCTCTGCCTGCAACCTGAGCAGGAGGGCCCCTCCTTGTCACCTGTCTCGGTGGGGTGCAGAGTTCTGGCCCGGGAAGCAGGGGGCCCGGGTTCTAGTCCTGATGCTGTGCAAGTCACTGTCCCTCCCGCAGCCTCAGTTTCCCCATTCATGAAGTGTGGGGCTTAGACCTGCTGCTCGGCAAGGGCCCTCTGGCTGCAATTTGGGGGGTCCTGGTTCTAGACAGGGGTATGACAGCTCCACCCTTTGGACCCCCCTCTGTCACAGTCCCAGGAATGGACGAGGAAAAACCAGAAGTGGGCAGAACACAGGCTGGTTTGAGCCTGTGACCAAGTGGCTGCCCAGTGAAGTGCCTAGAGCAGGGCAGCGAGGTGACAGAGCTGGCACACGTGCCCAGCCAGCTGGCCAGCCTGGCATGACCAGCGAACTTCAGGCCACCAGCTGTTGCCCAAAGGTTGCTGTGTAGGGGCGTGCCACTGGCTGTCCCCCCTCCACCAGGGGCCACAAGAAGAGAAAATCCATTCCGACCCCGGACAGTACTGGAAGTCAGACACAGGAAGAGCTCATCCAGTTCCGTTTAGCAAAGTTTTCCAGACTTTCGCCCATTTTAATTGAAAATATGATATATGCTTATGGTTTAAAAAAATTCAAAAGGTCAAAAGAATAGGT